TCGTTGAAAGGCTTCGACTTAACGTCATTTACACTGACTGCACCTGCTATCAGAATACAGTGATTGGATGGCCTGTAGCAGCTGGTCATCTATCCCTGTGCTCGCAGGCATGCCCACAGACCGCTGCGCGGGATCCGGTCATAGGCTTTTTCTAGATCAGCAAAGCACGTGTATACCGGACTGAAGAACTCCCACGATTTCTCAACAATCTGGCGCAGGGCAAATATATGGTCAGAGGATGCTTCGACCGGGCCGGAAGCCCCACTGCTCTTCTTGTATCTTGGAGTCAGTCATTCCGTGACACCTTTCTAGCACCTCTGCGTAGACTTTACTAGAGAGGCTCAATAAAGCAATGCCTTGATAACTCGAACACTAGTGTGGTCTCTTTTATTGAACAGGGGTACAACAACCACCGTTCTCGAGTTAGCTGATGTCTTCCACGAAGTCAGAGCAGTTTGACAAACACGTTTAAGCCAGCATATGCCTTCTTCGCCTAATGTTTTGAAGATTTCAGGGTGGATTTCATTAATTCCAGCAGCCTTTCCACTTTTCATGCTTTTCACAATTTGTGTAATTTCATGTCCAGCAATAGTAATATCCGCTTTCTGCTGCTATACATGCGAGTCTTCCTGCGGCTGGTAGAGGTTAAGGAGTTCCTCAAAGTGCTATATATCGCGAAAGAATGTCCTTTACCTCGGTAAGAAGGTGCCCAGACCTGTCCTTCAAGACTCTAAGCCAGCCCTTTTTTTCACGTCAGAGTCAGGAGGGTCGTCTGGAAATTGAACTATAACACATCACCGACCTTCTCCCAAGAATCAGCTTTGGCCTTCGCCAATGCTTTCGCTGTCGCTTTGCGTTCTTTGACATATCGCATGCAAGCAGAATGCCTTTTGCTTCCAAACCATTCCTTGAATGAAGCCTTCTTTTATTTAACTGACAGTTGTAATTATTGTGCTCACCGGGAAGTTCCCTTCCCACTAGGAAGGAACGTTAGAAGCCTGTTTGATGCGTCTGCCTTGGCGACCTGGAATAAGAAGCGGTGAAAGAAGACGAAGATGAAGAGGTCAATATTCACTATTCCAAAATGTATACGAGTTGATGAGTACAGACTTGAAGACACAGAGTTTCCCGTTTTTACTCGGTTCGTTCTTCACTTTCACAGAAAGGCTTAGTTCCCGCATTACGGCACTTCTTGGGAGACTGGTCTTCATTTCTACGACTCACTTGGCATATTCATGAATGTTACTTCGAGCTTCTTAAACTGCTGTAACTGCCTCAGCTGCAAAAGTTCATGAACTTGCAGCAGAGACAAGCTATTTGGGGAAACAAAGCTTTGATCTTTGATCAGGCTCAATGTCATACATATTCGCAGGATGCTGCAAAACCACGAGATGCATGTTTGGCATTCATTATGTACACTGTGAGATACTCAGTGGCTATGTCGCGTCCGTTCAATGGTATGAACAGGAAAGAAAACAAGAAAGACTCATATTAAAAGCAAATATATGCTTCGAAAGGTGTCGAATCCAAACCGCTAATCGGAACATAAGCCGCTGAGCTCCTGAAAGTAAAATATTTTCTTTTCGTTTGGCTTTCGTTACTGCTC